CATATTTAGATGTCTTATTTTGCAAATGCTGCCTTCCTGAAATTTGGTATGCTTGTTTGTCTTTGTGTCTATGGTGTATAATGATGTGATTGTGATGCTGTATTTGAGTGTTTTATGTGCTGCAGAACAGGAACCTGCTGTAAAACAGCAATCATGCTGAGTCAGGCTTGATTTTTAATAATCTTTTCCTGTTAAATAATTCAAATCAAATCAAATCAATAAATAAACTAGACACGGTAGCAAATACGACCCCCACATGTACGCAATGCACCAATACACCAGAACTCACAACTCATCAGAAGAGATTTATTGTTTTGGGTGGGGGTCCACGGGTTGGGGGAGCTCATTGGTCCCGATGGAAAGCCCTTCATCAGAGCTAAACATAAAACAAAAACATAAATAAAAAAAACTGAAGTTTTCGTTTTAGTTTTTGTTATAAGCATTTTTGTATGTCCAGACACCACGTTTTCAGATGCAACACATTCTCTCTCCCGTCTCGTCACATTCTGACGCTTGGTCCAGGTTCCCTCTGCGTCTGGTTTTGACGCGTCGGGTAACCCCCTCACGTTAGTTATTGACCTTTGGGGCTTTTCTGGGTTTGCGCCACATGGGTTCTTTGGGTTGGGGTCCGTGCTTAATATTAGGGATCAGGATTCCTGGTTAATTTAGGTAATGAGGTCAAGCATAGGATGTCTAGGGATAATAGAAGTTAAGTTTAGGGACGCAGAGGGAACCTGGACCTGGGAGTGAGAATGGGCTGCCCAACGACTAAAGGGGTTGTAGAGCAGAGAGTCAAAAACCTGGGCCACTGCACTGGCTGCTAGCTTAATCATTAAAAATTAACTGATTTCACTTAAGAAATATTTGTACTTCATATATTATATTTGGCCCGCAGCCCTCMAACACATTTTAATTTTGGCCCTCTAGGGAAAACGTTTGGGCACCCCTGGTCCTGACAAGAGCAGAGCACCAACAGCAAAGGCTGCGTTCCATTCTGGTACATCCATCCATCCATCCATTTTCTGTACACGCTTCTTCCTTTTCAGGGTTGCGTGGCTCACTGGTGCCCATATCCAGCAGTCACAGTGCGAGGGGCGGGGTACACCCTGGACAGGTCGCAAGTCCATCACAGGGCCACACATAGAGACAAATGAGACAAACAACCATTCACTCTCTCACTCACACCTAGGGACAATTTAGAGTTATCAGTTAACCTAACAGTCACGTTTTTGGTCTGTGGAAGGAAGCCGGAGTACCCGGAGAGAGCCCACGCATGCACGGAGAGAACATGCAAACTCTACCCAGAAAGGTCCCCAGACCAGGATTTGAACCGGTGACCTTCTTGCTGAGAGGCATCAGTTCTACCAACTGAGCCACCGTGCCGCCCCATTCTGGTACACTTAAATCTAAATGTTGTTAGTTCACATCTAACGTTTTTACATTTAGATCTAGTATTTACATATAAGTTAACATTTAATTTTACATTTTGTAAACATTAGCAAAATGTAAGAACACTGAGCTAATGGAAAATTCTCAACTAGGATTTTACACCCAAAATGAGCTAAATAATAAAAATGTGTTACAAATTTTTTTACCTTTTATTTTACACTTGGCAGCCCATCGAATCCAGTGATGRTTGTTTTTGTAAACTTTTTTATATATCTTGTGATGATGGGTTTCTTGACTTTACCCTGATAAAACAGTGAGTCAGGCCCACAAGACAAACAGCCCCAAATTGTCTTTTCATGTAAAATACCAAAGTCAGAGCTGAGATTGATCTGGTGTCTCTTTTTTTATTTACTTTTTTATTTATTTTTTGCTTCTTCCTTCCTCTGAACTTGACATCAAATACAGTGTAATGGCAGTTGTGGCTCATTGCTCTGACAGCACAGCAGACACAACGACACAGCCGATAAACATCCTCCTCAATATGTCACCTCCTGACAGGGAGACAAAAAGATTCAGGAGGACAGTTCTAACAGGAGCTGTTCTGACGTGAAGCACCGGCACAAAAACAAAAGTAAATGACCAACTGGCAGGAAATAAATTAATTAAAACACAACAGATTACACATTTGGTAACTGTATAAAAGCAAAGAGACAAAAAATTCATTAAAGGAGACATATGATCCTTCATTTGGGATCTATATAAAAGTGGAACTGCAATGCTTTGGGGTTTGAATTCCTCCTTACTGTAACTCCACAAGCCCCGCCCCTTTTCTGAGGCGAGTTTCAGATCAGCTCATTTTGAGGCTGTCTCAAGTACACAACAAAATGCATTTAACTGCTAAAAAAAAGAGTATTTTGCATGAAATATCTCCTTTAAATCTGCAGATTTAGAGCATAAAAAACGTTTCCACTCACTTGCGTCCAACACTGCTCCCGTTCCTGTGAATGCAGACCACCTCCCGGGTCTGGAATCCCACCTGAATATCCCAGAATGGACTTTCTTGCCGGTTAAGGCGATTCCTGGTCCGTTTCTTCTGAATAAGTTCCCTGGTCTCGGGGTCTTTAACTCCTGCTCGGTCCCTGAGTCCTTGGCCTTTACCTTTCCTGCGTTTGGCCTGCCGTGCTGTCCGTGTTTGTGGTAGGGCACAGGGGCTCCACGCTCCCACCCTGAGGCTGTACAGGCCCTCGGGACCCGTGCAGGGTCCCGGTTTACACGACTGGAACTCAGTAAGATTGGGACAAATGGAGCCGCCGAAAAGCGGAGGCACCAGGACGCTGCGTACCCTGTTCCTGAGGCCTGTTCCACACGTTTTGGAGCAGGAAGTCCATGGCGAATACTCAGACACCACACAGTCCTGAGGGCAGGGGATCAAACACGCCTGCTCCAGGCGAGGCTTGGGCTCAAAGTACTCACAGATGGCATCCTCTGCTGGAGACCCATCAGACTTGAGCATGCAGCCCACCTCCCGTGTCTGAATGCCCTCTTCGCCTCCACTGCACACGAACTGCSGTGGCGCCCCGAAGGTCCTCGCCGACACCGGCACACACTCGTTCCAGGCACCCAGCTTCCAGCTGTACAGGTCCTTGTGCCAGTCGCACACACGGAAACAGTTCCTCTGGTTGGAGGGGCGCTGACCCTGGTCACAGTTGGTGTGGAGCGTCGTCCAGCCGTCCACGTGGGCGCACCAGACTGCTCGGCTTTGGCTGCCGCCCGGACCACAGTCGCTGCCCATACACCTCCCCCACGGTCCTGAGAAACAAAGAGATGAGAGTGAATCACACTGAAGCCGTAAACCTCTCAGCTCAATGTGCTTTAAAGCTAAATATTGTTGTTCTTCGTGTGAACGCTGCAGATAAAACTCTGTTTGTTGCACAATGAGGGCAGACAGGAAACGGTCTCATCTAGTTTATTGTTGGGAATCAGAGTAATGATGCTCCGCAAACTGCAGGATGTTGCAGCTCAGCTCATTTGAAATTATGAGATTTATTTCCCATGCTGGTTACTGAATGCAAACGTAAAATAAACATGAAGATAGTTCTAATAACTGTATATATATATATATATATATATACACATACATACAAGTATATACAAGTTAAAGAGATTAACTGAAGAAAAACAAACTTACAAGAAAATGGACAAGAAAAAAAAAGAAACGATAAAACTCTTTGCTCAGGAAAGTAGTATTTAACTGGCTGTCAGTAAAAAAAAAGGTAACACAGTGAGCCACAATTAGCCTGCTCTGAGCAGGAACAGTGACGGAGATAATCTTGTGATCCATCCTGTCCTCTCATGTGTGTTATTTTCTTTCTCACTGCGCAAAATGTCACCAGGCAATTTGGATTTGTCTGATCTTTACATCTGCAGGTACGTAAAGCTGAAATATTCACACGACACAATGAAACACTGAGGTTTGTTCCCTCCACGTGTGACTAAATGTTAAAGACAGTCAGACTAAAATAAAACTACAGCCTTTTTTCTTTGTCACACGTTTTATCATCAACTGGCACCCTGCTGAAGAAGAGTGCATTGCTTGAAATGATGTGGGTTTAATGTGTGCACATTTAGAGACTTAAAAGTTAAATTTCATGTGAAATATTTGTCTCACATCGCCACTGGGCACAACTCAAAAGTAAACAAAGGTTTAAATAATCAGCCATTTAAAACTACAGAGATTATTGAAAACAGAATTTGAAAATTAATCTCGAAAATCAAATTATTCAATCAGCCCTAAAATGATCCGCATGTTAAATGTTTCGGTTTTCTCATCATGAGTTTGTGTTTAAAATGCAACCAGACGTGATGAGGAAAACTTACTTGAGACTCAGGGGAAGAAAATAAATAATCCAGGATTCTAAGAAGCTTGGGCAAAAATAAAAATAAAAAATAAACTTAAAATAAAAACAAAAAACAAAATTCAAATGAGGTTTTTTAAATGAATCTTTAAAGTCTTATTAGTGTTTTACTTGTTCAGGAGTTACTTTCACACAAAGACACAGGTGGAGGAAATCATGACTGATTGGACAGGGAAGGCAAATACGAGGAAACAGGAAACTAACCCTTCACAATAAAACAGGAAGTTACAAAAACAAGAACAGAAATAAACAGCTCAGATTTGAACCTGATCATAAAAAAATCTTAACTTCTGAAATGTTTAATCCTAGGTTTTTAAATGTAAGAACTTAAAAGTTTATATGGAAAATTTGATTTATTAAAAAAATAAAAATAAATAAAATAAGTAAAATTAGCTCTGATTCAATTCATTTTGTTTGTCCTGACTCTGGTTAGGACTGATATAAAACGGCTCAGTTCTGAGAAACTTTTTTCAAACAAACAAGCAGATGCATGTTTTTTTACTTCTTCAGATTTTACTCACAGTTTAGTGAAAAGTCAGCAGTAAAATAATGGATCCCGTGGAGTCAGGATGCTGTTTCTGCTGCTCAGATATCGCAACAGCAAATGAAACGACAGGAACTAAGGGTCTCGGGGGACATCGGGGGCTTTGATGGAACAGCAGAACTTTCTGGCTCTAAAATCAAAAAGTTTGATGTTGGCAAACACATTCAGATTGCTTTATGGTGAGAAGGGGCGGAGTTTTCTCATGGAAGATCGGTTGAACTTGAATCTTAGCTGCTCTCCACAGACGACCCCTGACCCTCGAGGACTGTAATATCCTTGGTGTCCTCAGGACTCAGAGTCTGATCTGTGACTGGGCCTCAAGCATCCCTTTAATGAACAGAATCTTTGTCCCTGTGGGGTCAGCCTCACTAATCAACGGGTCGCTGTGTTTTCACTCTCGCTGCTCCTGTTTGTTTATTATTTCTTGGATCTGTGGCGTCTGGCTCCGGCACACGAAGACAGGAACCTCCCTCTCTGGACCTGGGTCAGGGTTCGCCCGAGGATCGTCTCTGCTGCCGGGCTGCTTCTCCGCAGCAGACCCTTCAGTCTGCAGACGTGCCTGGACTTCAGATGGCCTGGTTCAGTCTGGGTGTCATTAAAAACAATAAGAAGGCTCCAGGTTTAAGTGGGAACTCGGCCACAGCTGAAATGTGTCGGACTTCCTGCAGACCTTGCTGTCAGTGCATGAGAGGAGCAGCAGTCTGAGGAATAATGTAGGTTCCATGTAAAGCTCTTATTTATCGATTCAGCCTCTCTCACAGACAGTAAATTCAGTTCGTTCGCCAAAATAAATCAAAGCTTGGAAAGATGATCTAACAGAGAATAGATTTTTACGGCGGTGGTTGATGTTTATTTTATGGGAGGTCTGCTCACAAACACAACATCTGAAGTCAGGTTTGTAGGATTGAGCTGAATGGAGAATTTGATTTGCACCTAAAAACGGATTCACGGTCCCGCAGGGTCCTGCAGCCGGGACGAGACCTGATTGGCTCCTGAAGAACTCATGCTCCGCCCCCTGTAGTTCACTGAGTGTTTCAGGTGTTCCTGTTCTAATAAACCTGATTTAAATGATTAAATAATCTTCTCAGCATGCTGTCATGGTCAGCGGAGGCCTTTTAATGAACCTTGTTACAGTTAATCTTATGCTCGCTCTGTGTTTTTATTATGGGATGTATTGTGGTCCAATAATGCCTACTTCTGTTCTGCATTAGTAACTGTAAAAAGGTCAACGGCTGCTGTTGAAAATGAGTGTGCAGAATCAGGGAAAAAGTAAAAAGACTTGAATAATTAGGTTTTGTGTTTCAAAGATCTTTACTAAAAGGATAATTTTGAAAGAGATTCTCTGGTAAGACTGTGGACAACTGATATCTTACCTGTAGCAGATAACTTTTTAAACAGTTTGAAGGTACAAATTATTTTCAGTCTTGTATAAAGTACCTCAAAGTGAAAATATCTTACCATAAAAATAATATGATAAAAGTTCAAGTCTCCTCCAAGTTTAGTACTTGAGGATAAGTCTTAAAGTATCTGACATTTACTGTACTTAACTATCAAAAGTATATTTCTGAAATTAAATGTACTTAAATATAAAATTTTTCTAAAGCAGTGTTTTTCAACCCTGGTCCTCAAGGCACACTGCCCTGCATGTTTTAGGTTTCCCTGCTTTGACACACCTGATTCAGATGATTGCAGTTCAACAAAGGCCTGTTGATCAGTTATCAATTTAAATCAGCTGTGTTGAAGCAGGGAAACATCTGGGGCGGCTGTGGTGTAGTGGTAGAGCAGCCGGCTTGGGGCCTGAAAGTCTTAGGTTCGACTCCCCGCCATACCCACATGTCGTGGTGTCCTTGAGCAAGACACCTAACCCTCACTGCTCCCCGGGCGCCTCACATGGCTGCCCGCTGCTCCACTTGGGTGTGGATGGGTTAAATGCAGAGCACAATTTCGTCATTGTGTGGAAACATACACTGATGACAAATTAAGCACCTTTACCTTTATCTAAAACATGCAGGGCAGTGTGCCTTGAAGGCCAGGGTTGAAAAACACTGTTCTAAAAACCATAATAACTCATATATATATATATATA